TATTTTCTTAATTCAAATCAACCATGTTCCTTGCTTTCATGAATCCAAATTTCAAGCCAATTGTTGAGCACATTCCAGCAGCCCACCAATTTTAACCCAATAACAACAACATACAAATATACAATGCCCATTCCAGTAACTCCCAACAACCCAGCCCACTTTTCCCCCGACCCAACCAATTAATCCCCTAACCCGGCCCAATCCTAATCCTAATTAACTTCAACAGCAGCTCCAGAACGGCAGCAACATCCCAGCAAAACAGAAGGAGCGATACAGCACCCAAACAGCACCCATCCGACTCCAGCACGCTTTTCTTCCTCCTCACGTCCCTTTCGATTAGTACTAACACCGCAGCAAGCAGCTAGCACGCGCTCTGCCCCCTTTTCCCTTTCGGAATGAGTCAAAACCTCAAGGAAAAGGTGCTTGTCCGAATCGGTGAAATAAATCGAATTTTGAATTCGGAATTCCCCACAAAATCTACCCTAATCTCCCCCTATATAATATCCTTTCTGTTCATTGGTAAAGGAGGGATTTTCGGAGTTGGAAAATTTGGTGTTAAAAGGAAAAATTGGAAAAGTCGGCAAGAGAAATCACATAAAGATATTTTCCAAAAAAAAAAAAAAAAACTGTAAGAATCACCCAGAAAATACACTTTAGATACATATTTTTTTTCTCTCGTTCTTCGTGGGTTGCGGAGGAATTGGCCAGATTTCTCGAAATTCCCGTTTGTGATTTTAAGCTCGCTCGTTTGGTCCCAATCGCTGCCCGGAATAAGGTGATATTTCCATTTTTTTCTATTTTTGCTTCAATGTGTTATTCATAGTTAAGATGCTTTGGATATCATTTGTTTTCGATCTCACACTTTGTATAATTTTCTGCAAAATGATTGAATATGGTTTCTGATAGCCGCTTATAATCACTAGTTGACTCGTTTGAGGTTCTGAATGCGTAGAATACTGTATATCTCAGCTTGTGTTTAAATCTTTGCTTTTGTTATGATCTTAAATTGGTTCTTGGCTCGCTTTGTTTGAAATATGAGCTGCTTATGGCTTAGACTCTAGTCGCAAATCATAATATGTCTCTAATTCATACATGTTAAGTTTTATACTGGTTTGAGCTTCAATCTATCTGTTTGTTTGCTCTGTTTCCCTCCTTATTTATATTACTAAATCTATTCCATTTGCAATTCATTCTGAAGCATGATTTCCTGTAATTGTCCCTTACTTGAGTGTATTTTGGTTGATTCTCCTATCTGCGTGATTTCTTGGGCAAAGGATAATAATTGGGTATTTAAATTTTAAACTTACATATGTGCTTTTGTTTATGTGTTAATATGGGTGTCTAGTTTATTTTAGGTCTGGCAGCCTCTTGTTCCTTTTATTTATGAGTTTGCTTGCTTTAATTGCTTATTGTTAAAGGAATTTTGCTAGTATGGTGTTATCTGCCATCGTGTTCTGCATTAAATGACAAATAACTTGTGAGCAATGTGAGAGTTGGCTTCCCTTTTGTTAAATCTGTTTGAAAACAGTAGTTCATGCATGAGCAACTCTAGTAATTTTGCACATTATTTGTGGGTTCACTACCCTTTTTTTCTTAAATCTTCATTAATGGATCAAAACAATTTTGTTTGACATACTTTAACTTGGAAGCTGCTGTAGTAATTTGTTTTAGACACATTGCTATTCTATATTTATTTTAGGTGCTAACTTTATCTTATTTTTTGTACCATGCAAATTCATATGGAGTCCAATTTGGACTCTTTTTCATCATCTCCCTGCATTTCCGAGTATCGAGTCGGTCTTTGGTGTTCGAGGGTGATAGAGAAGCTAATGCAAGCCTCCCAAACCTCAAAAAGGAGTTGTATACCTGTTATATACAACTGTATACACTGGTATACAACAATATACGCTATATACAGGTCAAAGAGCAGCGTACACGTGGTTAAAAGAAGGATTACAGGTGTTCGAGAGATGGAACAGGTTGTATACATTCAGTGTGTGTGCTGTTATACATGAAAACAAGCCGGTATACAGTCCATATACATGAATATACACTCAGTACGTATGCAGATTTTCAGAGGAGAAATGGGCTAAAGCCCAAATTCTATTTGCTACAGCAGGTCCAAGCCAAAACGGCCCCAAAAGCCTAATGAAATGATCAGCATTTCATCTTAATTAATATGGGTCAAAGCCCATTATTTTGGCATTCTTCTTTTAGACTTAGGACAGGTTGGGCCAAAGCCCAAATTTTATATCTCTTCCCTTTTGCTCTTATTTATTTGTTTGTTATGTTGACTAACATTTATTTGTGAATTGGTTTTAACTTAATTAAATTCCTGAAGATAACCATTTCCTTTATATATATATATATATATATATATACTTAGCTTTACTTTTATGTCTCGTCTTATCACGTAAGTTACTTCTCTTTAGAGTGATCCCCTTTAGTTTATTTCCCTTTAAATAATTGAATAAAATTAAAATGATAAACAAGTAGATAGATAAATAAAAACAGTCTAAAAAAAAATAAAAAAATAAGTTCATTTACTTAGTTGAAAATTTAAAAAAAAAAAGGGAGTTTGTTTACTTTAGTCAAAATTTCAAAATTAATCAAAGTCGTGAGTTCTTTTCTTAGTCAAATTTTTTATTTTTTATTTTTTAAAATATAATTAGTTAAAATAAATGAATTCTTTTACTTAAGTTAAAATTTAAAAATTAGTCAAAATCATTTTGGTCAAATCGTCGGTCAACCGCGAGTTAGCGGGCATTCCGAGGGCCTAACACCTTCTCGGAATGTACATTTGAACTCGAACCCTTTTTCAATTGATTTTATCTGTTTAAGTCTTTTGAAAAATCTCGTATTTTTTCTTGATTTTTTACTAAAAATTAAGTGGCGACTCTGTTCTTTTGGAAATTCGATTTCTCTTAAACGATAAGTTTAATCGATTTTTCAAAACTCAGTCATCTTCCTTGTATATATCTTTTTAAATAAAACAATAAGTTTCTTTTTTTTTTTACGTGGATGAGGTGGGGGGATAAAACTTTGAATACAAAAAACCTAAAAAATTTTTTACTTTAAATAACACCTAAAATATATTTTTCTAATTAAATGAACAAATATGAGTTATAGTATTAACAAAAAAAAAATTAGAAAAATGAGGAAATCTAAAATTTATTCCAAATTTTGTTGCTACACAGTACACATTGGTCTGTGAGCTCTGCTTTCTAATTAATAAAAAAATATTGTTTTATTATTATTTAAATGAGCCAACATAGAGATTTGGCCTAGGCAGAAACCAAACAAAATACAGAATAAAATATAGTCTAGAATATAGATATTAAAAACATCTATATTTCATAAGAATTAAAAAATAAAAAAATCTTGAAGATCAAAGTGAACTTTCTTGGACTTAGGAGTTAGGAATTGCTTATTTTAAATATTTTTAAGTTAACATGATATTTTAAACAGTTTTAATAGTAATACATTAAATACTTTTAAAATAATAAAAATAATTCAAAAAATTAAAAATTCTAATTTATAAACTAAAAAAAAAATCCATCCAAACGTGGTCTTAATTGCTGGATGGCCGAATGCCACTGCACCAACTTTCTCACATGTCGCAATATATTTGTCAAAGTCACACTCTTGAGGTCAAATTATGACATCTATTAACTCCCTCCAATTACTATATTTTTTTTATCGGAAAAGGAATTTATCTGAACCTTCTTGATCTAAAACTTTGTTGATGCAACAAACTTTTTCTATTTCACGAGCAGAACATCAGAGATGCACAGCATGTGGGCCTTGTCTAAAATTATATTGTATATATAAAAAAGTTATGTTCGATTTTACTTTAAAAAAATGTTGATCTCCTCTTAATTCAAGCTAAGCATGCAATTATTATTTATTATTGATCTTAGTTAGAATTCTGGAAAATATCAGTCAAAACTCAAAAACTAAAATGATATTTGGATTGTTAAATAAATTGTTTTTTATTTTATTTTTCTTTAATCAATTGAATGGGACTTTACCATATAAAATCCGTTAATTATAAAGAATTAATTGAGCCGTCGAAGGCAGTTAGTTCATTAGTACTTTGTTGAAATAATCACACTTCTTAACTGACTTTAATTAGCCATTACGAGTACCACTTATTAGTAGACCAGAGTTGACTATTTCACAATTTTTATTTTTATTTTTCTATTCTGTGATCGATATACATTTTTCATTTTGGAACTCTATTAATTCAAATTTGCAAAGGAAAGTCTCATTTGGGGGTAACGATCCCTACTTCAGGCAACCACACCTAAGGTTTGAACTTGAGTTTTTTTTATTAAATACTTACATGCATTTTGAGATTTGACTAATTTGATTCGTATCGAAAGATCCACCTCCCTACCAAAGACAACTCATATCTAGAGTTCATATTCAAGACTTTTGATTATGAATAAAGAAATATTTACCCCTCCATAGTTTCTATGTGAGTGATTTCACAAATTCCTTGGTCTAATCACAACTTCAATTAGCTAAACTAACGTTAAAATACTTTATTATGACAAAATTTGGATCATCTTTCTAGGGAGGGTGATGTGTACGCAATATGATCAAGAGGTTATTTCCAATAAAGCCACAACTCAAATCGAACGTATCCATTGAATGTCTTTAATAAAGAAAATACGATAATCGAGACAACAAAAAAGTAATAAAATTTAAAAAATAAGTAGGAGAGATACAATAACAATGCCTGCTCTTAAATTTCATTAAAATATATTCGTATTCAGAAAATTCAACACCTTTAATGAAGAAAACATATTAAAAACCCTATTCACTCTTTTCAAAATTGGCATCCTTGTCAAGGATTGTATTGGAATTCATCTCAATAGCAGGATAGTACAACTTACAGACTCACAAGACCTTTGAAACACAGATAAATGAAACACTCCTACCCAATCTACCTAATGAATTCAAAATCCAAAACCGAGTGACTTATAGTCACAAATTTAACCCAATTCGGGTTAGAATTGAAACGATACAGAGAAAATTAGCATGACCCCTTTGTGCAAGGATAACATGCATAAATCGAGAAAATAGCACATCCCAATTCCCTACCGCGACCATGGAAGTGGTAAAACCTGATAGATACATCAACTTTTCCCTAATCTCCATCTGAGAGAAAAAGCCAGGTGACTGGTGATGATTTTGACAGGCAAATACAATTTTCCACCCAATACAAGATATAATAAATATAATATGGACCACTATATAGGCAGTTCTCTATTTAATCAGAATCAGGCTCAACATCAACAATATCAGGAATTGACTCCACGGACTCATTATCAGATTCATGCATCAACTCTTTACCTCTGTCTAAATTCATCATCAGCGGCGAAGCAAATCCAGCATCGCTAGCTTCTGCCACCTCCTTTCTAGATGCATCGTCCGCGATATTTTCCAATCCTAGAGATACCACATTACTCTTAGATGGTAGGAGATCTTCAGAATGTTTACTTGTTTTTAGAGATAGTTGTGATTCTACCATGATCTCATCCCTGTCCATGGGGTTTTTCTTAACAGTAGTAATAGGTGCTACTTGCTCCAATTTACTGTTTTCAGAAACTTTTACTGCAGTAGTATCAAAAGATGTAAGCTTTTCTGATGATGGATCTCTTAATGTTTCTGGGGGTTGATTACTTGTATCTGTATCTTTTCCAGGTTCAGCTGCCACAGTATCCAAATCTTCACTGTTTCGCATCCAATCTGCGTAAAGGTCATCATTATAAGAATCTGGCTCGTCAGGGGCCTTTCTGGATGTGCCAATGTGGAATGTGTTATTTGCTGCACGGTTACTGACGTGTACATTCCCTGAAAACCACTTACTTCCAACTTCGTAATTGTTGTCAGTGGACTCGAGATCTAATAATGGAAGAGCTCGGGGATGTATAAGCACTTCCAATGCTAAAATAGCATGTGCACAACATTCAGCAACTTTAGTTCCTATTTCTCGAGTCCCTGCCAACACCAAATTAGTAGCAGGTTATCCATTTAAGCAGATTGCAAAAAATTGGAAGGATGCTAAACTAGGGGCAAGGGAAGTACAGGGTGCGAACAGCAACATCATCCTTAGATGTAAATGTTCTTTGAATGCATTAGTAGCATAATGGGATTTAAAATAGAAAGCATCACTCACTCTCTAGCCACTACGGCACTACCTCAATCATTTTGAGAGCAACTGCTAGGACAAACATTTAAAAGTTGCAGTTCTCACAGCTATGCAACTGACAAATTGTTATGACATTAAAATTTCAACAGATCTTCCGCTCTTACCATGTCTTTATATCTACTAGTTTATATTTCAATCTCTAGAATATTTACTTCTACCTTATTGGAGTAAGTTTTTAGTACACTTAGCATATGACACAAAAGAAGGCAGACAAGGAACGGCTCAGGCACACAGTAGCTTGATTAATAGAATAATTTCATGCGCACAGTTCTTACTTGCTATTGTCTAAAGGACTGGTTTCAGCCATGCCCAGTATGGCATAGAAGAATTCTAACTTTTTCTAAGAAAAATCTGTACAATCACCTCAACAAAATTGCATCCTTACCTCTGCGAAAAAGTTCAAGCCCCTGAGAAAGGTGGGGTGGGCGAGTGCGGCCAGGAGAGAGGAGAGAAGCCAGAAGTGCTCGTAAAGCTGCAATTTGATAGTCTCGCCAAATACTGGTTGGTGAGTCAGAAACCAAACTGCCTCTGCCATCCTTGGCCCACCCTCCTTTAGAAGCATTTCTGGTAACATCCAAAAGAAGGTGATCAACATTTACTCGCCAACTTTCGGATCTCCTAGAACCACCCTTAAAATGACAAAGATAAGATACTTGCCATCAAGAACAACTTTTGGAGATAGGTACAAAGGAGAAAAAATGGATAATATAGGATACATTTGTGTGTGTGTGTGTGGGGTGGGGGGGAGTAGGAATTATTACATGGGTCACAAAATATTCCAAAAACTTTTACGTATTACATTGTGCACAACCTAAACTCATAAATTAGGCACCATAGCATCATAAAACGAGTATGACATCTTCATGTACTCACTATATCCTAAAATATTATTTAATTATCCGGAATTGTAATTAGTACATGGATTAAGGATAAGGACAAGCAGGTGAGGTAAAAAGAAAAACAATTTCATAGGCTATTAGAAATATAATGACAAAGAAAGGACCTTACTCAAGCAGTCGTAAAACAAAGTTGCAGACTACTACTTTGACTATCAGCTCCTTCACCAATAAACATAAATTGTTATCCCAAGAATTAGGCGACCCTAGGCTAAAATCTTCCCCGAGAGCAAGGAAGAGGCACTTTCACAACATAATAACAAGAAAATATCTTTTCTCTAACCACAAATCCGATTCACATTAATTTTTCAACTTCTAAAGCACCCAGGCAAGAATGCAGGTAAGAGAGCCAAGCTTTAACAAGTATACTTAAGGACATGCATTAGAAATTCTTTACGTGTGCACATTTTAGGGAATGCCTATATTCTCTCTAATAACTGCTGAAGCATTTTCATAAAAAAATTATTATCAGGCATTAGAAATGTCCTGTCACTCCCCTTTTTGCCTGCCCTACTTTCTATTTTGATTTGTCAGAATATGATGTCAGCTTTCTCTAACATGAAACTTCTATTTTTTTACACTTTTCAATACTTTTTCTTATATGATATTCTACTTCCAAATTAGACCCTGCTTTTATGATATTAAAGAACGAATTCATCAAGAAGTCAATCTTATCTTCTGACTTTGACCCTCATGCTATTACAAATCAACTTGCAACTCTTTGAAAAATTATTTTTAATATAATGATTTCTTCTCTTAAAAACCATATTTGTTCAAAAGTAGTCCCAAGTGAGAGCAACATTAAGCATACCACAGCAAGCAGGGCTTCCAATGCCTCTAGTGCAGCTATCTTAACAGACAATGAAGCCATGTTTGGGGACACTTCCACTTCAAAAACATCTTTATCAGGCTGCTCATCAAGCGAACTACTTGTACTTGCATGCTTCCTCTTCTTGTGGGAAGTCTTTGTTGTAGTCTCTGGATGTATATTCTGTTGTGCAACAGAAGATGTGCCTCTCTCATCTAAATCCATCAATGAATTGTTAACAATCACATCGGTGAGGTGTGTGGCTATCCCTGCCAATTAAAATTGCTGCAGTCAGTGACAGAATTATAATCAATCACAACCACTATCAAAATCACCAATCCAATAAATGCACAGCAGCCCGGAGAACTAGTCAGTGACATTCTTTTTGGGACGGGCTAAAAAAGAAGGGGTGCCACATAAAATGGGACAGAGGAAGTATTTACTATCTCAGCTAAATATGCAGAGTTTACGAGCGTTTAGTGCAATGCACACAGACAACCCAGCCTCTAAGCTAGGCAGCTGGTTATGAGCATAACAAATGCCAAAAGAAGTACAAACTTGTTGAAAATTTAAAATGCCTACCAACCCCCAGTGACAGCAGCAGGACTTTCATAATTGCGTACACCTTTATCCTTAGCTCTGGCAAAGTAGACGTCTCAATGTAGTTGGTTAGGAGTCGTATTATAGAGCCAACATGAGGGAGCAACTGGCTGCAAAAGAGAGAAAGAAGCAGCCCAGTCTTAGCACTAGTTTCCTTTAATAGATTGTCCAACATGGAAAGGGGAACTATAATAAAATAATCAACCAAATATTGAAAAAAATGTAATGAACTTTGCTTTTGAACTGCTGTTATGGATCCATGCACGGGGTAAATACCCAACATGTGTTATAAAGTTTGTGAGCACTGTATCCAAGTATGTACTAGTTCTCTACCATAATTTTTAACCACCACCTTAATCATAATACAAAGTGATATCCTCATTTTCTGCCTCAAAGTTTATTTTTGCAGCTTTAGCTCATTATCTCTGGCTAAAGCAGAGCAAGATACCCTGGAATTTTAACATGGCATTATATATACCAACTGATATCAAGGGAAAACATAGACAAATTTAAATGCCTAAATGGTGATAGAATAGGTTGAACTTATCAAAACAATAAAAACAGTTAGGTTAGCGTTCAAAATCAAAGGTATATTCATAATTAGGTGAAGCATCAAGCAAGGATGCAACAAGCACCTGCAGATTTGAACTCTAATATTGCAATGTATCAACATTCTACTTCATAAACCTAAAGAAGACAAAATTAGCTCCTCCTTTGTACTTGTACAACAACCAGACTACCAGAGCATGACAAGTTGAACCTTCTCTTAATTTTCCCCAAAACAGAAAAGGTAAATTTAAGGAAAAGAAGGAAGAATGACTAATGAAGACGTTATCTCCTCTCCTTTCCCAAGATGGTCAATGGGTGATTTTAGCTGATCACTGGCGATCAGGCATGGATTCACTCCCTTCTGCTTTGGAAGACCCAGGGAATATTTTTATAAATATATATTTTACAAATAAAATTATTATACAATAGGATGAGGGGAAGGGCGAAGGGGGAGGGGGATTACAAGGTGAGAGTCCAGGTAGGTAGCCCAACCAACTGGACTACTAAAATTGATTCCCCAAACAAGGGAATATTGATCTTTCTACAAGTCAGGTTTGCCAAATTATTTAAAGACAGGGAACTAAATCTAAAACCTGGACAGACACGTTAATAATGATCCTATTATACTGCACATGTCCGGGATGGTATTTCATCCTATGGAGAATCATGAGTCCTTGGGACAAAGATAGTGAAATGAATAAATGTAATCAACTGAAACAAGACATAGAAAAACAATATTGGAATTGCCTTATAACCTTCTATTTTTGGTGTAACCATGTCTTCCCCAAAGAGGTGAAGGCTATTACTCACTTTTTAGATAGTTTAGGAAGGGGTATAGATGATAGATCTTTTGGTTTTGCTTACTATATATTCCTGATGTAATTACTACTGAAATACACCATTGGTGTATTGTTGTCTATAAAATGTAAACTTTATCAAAAAAACAAAAAGAGCTCACCTGCCCAAGCCTTTAACAATTGATGTAAGAAGATCCAATATGTGTGAATGCAAGACCGGGAGTTCTGAAC